CGTGATCCGGTAGCCAGCTGTAGTCTGATCCTCATTCTGACAAGGGTACCGCACATTGACACTTATAGCTTCACAAGAATGCACATATTTATATATCATTGTTGTTATGTGGGACAGACGCACAAAACGATTGTCAGTCGCCCGGTCGGTTTGGCTATGCGCCTCTTGCCTAAAGAACTGTTAGATATTGCTGGGCTGTTGTCATTGTGGTTGTAGTTGGCACGAGTTATGACGCTGAAGGGGTTTGCGGGGGCCAGCTGGGGGGGTCAAGAAGACAAATTTGATAAAGAGAGTTCGTTTTTCGGTTCCCTGTTAAAAGACGATAGACAGCACGTGCTGATGCTATTCCTATTGCCTGAGCTAGTAAATAAGTAAGCAGTAGCAGCTGCGTGCCGACTGACTGTTGCTGAAGACGGCGCGAGCTCTTCTACCCTCTAGCTTTTTGGCGCGGTGCTCCTTACAGTGGTGTCAGAATGAAAAATTGACCACCGCTTTTGTGCCTGCGTACATAACGTTCTTGAGGATGCACACATATAAGGGGTTCACAGACACAAATCTTCCATTCTTTCACGTCTATTGGATGTTGCTGTCATTATTAGTGTTGTTACTTTTCGTTTTGTCTGGGCACTGCCGTTGTTCACGATGCCACTGCTAAATAGAACGGGCACGGACTGACGGGACGCCCGAACGTTGGGACGCGCGCGGGACCTGGACACGACGGTGAACCAATGAATCCTGCGTGTTTTCTCCGCATGAAGTAACGTCATTATTGCTAAATTTCTCTATCAACTCTTCCATTAGAACGACGACAAAAACGGCAATAACCTGCATAAACAACAACTGATGACAAGCAACGGAATTGTACTGAGGACGCGAGGGAGCGGCAGCGGCGGCAACGATGCCGGCAGTTGCACCAAAAAGAAAGATGCAGTCGCCAAATTCGACATATTTCTATAATATAACTCTTCGAATCGTACCAGAAGAAACGTCGATACGAAAGATGCAAAACTAACAAATACCCTTTATCTCATACGCATTCTTACACACAGAGTGATAGACAAACGCGCACGGCCGCAGACAGACATATGCGGAGGGTGCGCTCTGTTTACCTGTCAATAAGTAGATATTATCCTGTCGTGAAAACAACCAGCGTTACCTTGTAACCTTCACATGTGTCAGTGATATAACAGCATCGACTGGACTATATCGTGGACATTTTCTATGTTGTATCATGTACTACCATACCTGGTTAACTGACCACTGTCCCTACGGTTAACTAAAACTAAATAGACTTATATATAGCAATTAACAGATGTTGTTTTTTTATTTATTCCAAGCGCCGCAAAGGGCAGAATGTGTTTACGTCACAAGCGCAGCTACGATACCAATAGCCATTAATATCTATCTGCCAGTTCGTTCGTAGTTTTCTCACTCGGAATTGCTAATTAGGAATCTGCTGATCTCGATTTAGTACATTTTTGTCTATCTGGCTATATCATCATTTTCTTTGTTGTTGTTCTTCTTATTGTTGGCGATTTTTTTTTGTTTTTTTCTATTTTCAGCCGCATTTTTATTAGTAACTCCATTTCGCACGATGCGTTTTCCGATATCGAAAGAAAAGCCATATTCGATTCGAGTGTTTGTTATAATCGGCCGTTCTATACTTTAATATCGTACGTTCTGCATACAGTTAGCTCTTATTATTTCAATCGTATGGATAGTGCTTTATCTTTATAAGCACCTATCAGCTGGGTGTTTTGGACAGTACGCTTATGCATCCCAATAGAGATTTTAAAGGACCTTCTGGCATGATAATAGTTGCGGTTAGTTAAGCTTCAATAGGAATACTTTTGACGGCCGAATACAGACGGTTATTTTTCCATTAGAAACAAGTTGTTGCAGAAAGCATTGTTAGCCGTTACCAAAAGGCCTTCCCCGATTCATTTCCGGGCCGATTTGGCCTACCATTCTGTCTTCGAGACTTCCGGCTTGCAGGCGCCGCTTGTAGAGCTCAGCCTTTACGGATTGGTAGTTGCTTGAGCCAGCACTCTTTTCACCGAGAACGTTGATCCAGCAGAAGAGTAGGCCCTGACCTTTTTTCTGTTCCGGAAAAAATTGGCCTAGCTATAAAAAGAGTAGATCTTCTTTACCGTAAGGAGCGAAAAATACTGGCTTAAAGTAGCTACCTCTGTTTGGTTTCTCGTTTTAGATGTGGCAACGTATGACGGGTAGAGTATGGCTGCAATAATAATGTCACTTCAGAGACGTTTTCGACTCTTTTTCATCATGTACTCATAGAAGGAGGTGCAAACTGTAGACGATCGTTTGGATTCGCTCCAAGGCTGATCGAAAAAAATAACGAAGACCTTTCTAGTTTGGTCGCCATCTTTCCACTGCTTTCTTTCTCAGTATGTCTTTTTCTGACTCTATTCTCTCACCATCTTTTGATAGAATTCTGCTCCAAAGCTCTGGGACTCCTTTCAGTACAGTGAGTGCGTGTACCGGAATGATCTTTCGCTTGGGTTTGTTGAGCCTATGCCCTGCATCGCATGTTCGCTGCGGCGCGGTCAGTCAGCGAGTACAGTGTGGTAACAGGGGAAAAAAAGGCGTACTCATAAATTTAGCGATGGTGAGGAGCTACGCGAAACTGCAGGAGCTTGATAGACGAAGTTAGTCGAGGGGCTTAGGAAGGAAGCTTGGGGGCTTTTGCAAAGATCGAATCAACAGAACCGACCCCCCAGGCTAGCCAAGCTGGCGGGTAGAACTTCGTTTGTTTGGTATGGAATAGAGCCCTCTCCACTCCCGCTATCATGTTCTTCCCTTTTTCCTGCTTCATTCTTTGATGTCAACTTTCAGAGCAGCATGGCATGACCCGATAAGTCTTATGGCTTGTACTCATGGCTCATTCCTTTGGACTGGAAAGGACGCTAAGGCAGCAGGTTGACATATAAGAAATGTGGGCGAGAAGAGACGTATCACGGCAGCAGGACGAACGACAAGGTCCAATAGCAAAAGGCATTAGCAGGACCGCACGAACGAAGTACCATAGTATTACATGTGTTCTGCGGCCATAGCGAAAGGATTGATTGGAGCCGGCGTTATTACCCTTCACTAGAAACGCATTGGCATGAGTGAACTCATGCCAACGCGTTTGAATCATTGAATGCAATGATCTGAAAGTACCTATGATACGACTCTGATCACATTTATGCCTTATTCGCGAAGCAGTTTAATGAAGATGATCTGCTCAGAGATATATCATTGCGATAGAATATACATTTATACATGTGATAACGTAATAATTCAAATTTTACTTTTGAAGCAGAAAAAGTACATAGCAGAGAGATCTAGTGTAAACAGCAGTTTATCTTCTGCAATAAGCATCTCCAACACAATGTTATAGCAGCGATGCATATTGTTTAACCGTCAGTCAGCTTGTTTGACCAAGTATCTAATAGCACCTACATATCCCCTAGGGCATTGCAACATGTATATGTTGGTTAATATATAACAACAGGTCAATATTATATATTGTTAATAATTGTAGGTATATTATTGATTTTTGTACGTTATTCTTGTTGTGGATTCCTAAAATTCTTATTCAGATCAATTGAGAGGATTTTGCATAAATATGACAGCGGCTAGCGTATTTATAATGAAGAAGAAGCGATAGACGCAGGTAAAAATATGTGGATAGAAATGGCTGACCTACCCCCTCTTAGATTCATTTATTAAAATCCACCAAATTAAGGTATAAAAATTATATGGCCCCGACACTGAAATCGAGTGGTCTGCGTTAGAGTCTCTTCGACCTTTGGCGAATTTGAGTCTCATCTGCATTAGTAGTTGTATACGTGGGAGGCATCCGTCCATGATTAACCATTGTTTTTTTCAAGTAACCCAACCCATATTTGATTGCAGATCAGTGGCGCTGCTGCCAACAATCGCCGTCCCATAATGATAAGAACGATGATAATAGTTAATTCAAATCTATGAGTAATAAATGAATAAACGTATCATTCATCTGTATACACTCGCTGCTCGTATGAAGGATTTCGATTGTGAAGTATCTGTTACTGTTTTCAGTTCTGACGTGGTTTAATAATGTTGCCTATATATATATATATGTATAAGAGTATTTTTTTCCCTGCCTCTTTATGCTGCTTAGGTCAATTTTAATTATGCACTGTTCATACAGTTGGTAAAAATTGATGTTTGTCTGTGGGGAGGACAGACAGAGTGAGCGTTGCCGGTCGGTCAGCCAGCCACTCTTATCGAAAGCGGTATATCTGTTTGTGCTTGTAGCGGTCAAGCGTCTAACATTTCTAAACTGTTGATCGCCGTTGCTGCTACAGCCGCTCCGTCACCATCTATGCAGCAGTCTGCCAAAGCCAGTTATATGCGTAAACCTATATAGTCGTGCGTCAGCGGCGGCAGAGTGTGAGTTCTGACTCAAGTCTGAGCAAGCTTGACGTGCCCCGTTAGAGCCGTACCATTGCCAGATACTATTAGTAGTAATTAGTTGTGAGCCGTATGGACACGGACAGTGATTAAGCCCAAAAAATGTATCGGCCTCTGTCTTTCTTAGACCAAACTGCAGTGGCCTGTAAACCTCTATAGCGCCAGGCTATTAGCGGAAGCACATTCGTTATTAAATAAAACCGGGTGGTGCAGATAGACGTCGGCGCTTGCCATTGAACGAGGGGGCCTTGTTGCCGTACGAGCAAACTGAGGAAACTTAAACGTAATGCTCTGCATATGGGTAGGCTTTGGGCTTTAAGCAATCATCAGGTGAAATGTTGAATAACTGCAAATTGAAATAAAGCGGATCCGGACGTAGTTATGGAGAGCTGAAAATAGTATTTGTGAAATGTCGACGGTTTGTTACGAATCCTTATACAATATTAAAGTGGGTTGCTCTCAGGGCACAATTAATATAATTTCCTAAAACCATTTTCACATGTTGAAAAGCAAAATTATTTATTTTCGTTTGCTTCCAGTTGATTACAAGGTAGATTGCAGTGAACAGCAGATTCGGATACGAGTGAACCTCGATGGACACAACTTCACAGATGTCTACCTCGAAAATCTTAAGGGCTATCCAGGTGAGTGAGACATGATTCTGAAGCATTTATATCTTACGAATTTTTAGCGTTGTACCAATAAAACGAGAACTTCATTATAATGAAGACTTGTTACGAACATTGGCAAAGAATCACGCTCCGCACCATTCTATTCTAACCAGCTGTGTGACGTACAGATGAACAAGCTTCATTGTCCGACTGGAACAATTTGGGTTTTTACTTGCCGGTAAGATTATGTTAAAATAATATCCGACATTTTTTTAGTTTATCGCCACCTATATCCTATTCAGAATGATCGACTAAAGTAGATTTAGAGCACCACTAGGCGCTTTTTTATTATGTATTATCAAATCAATTAATTGTAAACCCTGTTTGTATTCTGGCGATAGACAGGGCAATTACTTTAGTAATATTCGCTAATTTTCGAAGTTCACCATTTCTTATGCAATATTTTTCATCTACTCTGACACCCGGAAATTTATTAACAGCGTTATTCAACTTACAGCCTGTTCCTTCTCTAGCTATCTGCAAGTTCAGTTAAGCAAACCATAAGTGTCCTGTTTTGCGTGGGTATAGTGAGAGTTCCACTGCTAAGGTAGAGTTTGTGTATTAGATTTGTGGCTATATTTATAAAGCATTACGTTTTATATTATGCAGGTGCATGGAACCCGCTAAGGCGCTGTAGAAGCTTGATTGGATAGAATTGTAGTCGTCGACATTCCGACATTTTCACCGAAAACTGAACTCTATTTGAACTTATACTCTTGCCCTTACAAAGAGGTTGTTACAAAGTAGTTTCTTCTCACTTACGAGCAAGCATTTGCTAGAAAGTTTAGGCTACATTAGATGCTAATTTCCTCAGCAGTTCTTCCTTGGCCGTTTCGTACCGAACGTTTGTCACAGACAAACGTGCAATCGTATTTGCACGCATTCACGTGAACGTAATGCTCGCGCATGAGCAGCACGTTAAGAACGAGAGTGACTGAGGGGGGCGAATAACCGGCTATTCACGAAAGGAATATACCCTTTAGGAGTTACGAGTACGCCGCAGGGGCGCCGCTACGAGACAGGGCAAGACGGTGAATATAGCAGGACTTCCCATCCTAGCCTCCTTCCCAGGTTCATTGTGTGTCGGTATCTGTATAATGCTGCGGCAGGATTTAGGATTCTCAACGGGATCAATGGACAAAGAAGACACAAGGTCTAATGTTTATCCTAACATGTACAGTAGGTAAATATTTACCTTGCCCTTTGTGCACATATGCACCCAGAAATGGACGGAAGGAGGGAAAGCACAATTCCAACAACAAACATTGTTTGCTCACTGGGTTTATACATATGTATGCGTGTCTATCTATATTTCGGTGTTGGTTCCCATTTTGGCAACATCCGTTCCATTCGTTAGGAAAGGTTATTCCGTGGCTATAACCAACCGGATAGAGATTGGGAAATAGGCTCAAATTCTTCTCCACAATGTCGTTTTCATTTTATCTCTTCCTCTCTGATTCTGTAATCCCCAGAGAGCGGCGGCTGACTATTTGAAAACGCATATTGGCTGGACAGATGGGACTAAATGGTCCGTGTAACAGGCAACGAGTCGTACTAGATTTCTGCCAGTCTGTCAAGGATACGTGCCACAAGTGGTCTTTTTTTCCGGGTGGTGAAAAACAGAGCCCATCAGGTACCAGACACATCTGTGCTGTGTGCAGCTGCAGCACAAGATGTGCTGCCTTTGTAGCTTGAGCTGGTTGGGGCCCGTAGGACCACAAACAGAAGTTGACGTGGGTGGCTTATGGGAGACCCATTGCCACTCAGGAGTTAAGGCATGGGGTTTCTCGTGACTAGAAGGCAGACAGAGGGATGCAACCCGAGACACAAAGGCACTAGACGAAGCGATACGGGAGACACCAGACTATTATGCGGTGTGTGAATGAACCTTGACTGGGCTTGGAGGAATTGTGCATTGTCCAAACACTAAGCGATGGGTAAACGCAGCCATTGGCCACTGATTAACGATGATGGCGGACCAAATAATAACATTATGATTATTCACCGATTCATTGCAGAGAGACATTGTACATATTGTGAATATGCTGCTTTGGCTAGCCTAGCTTGAATGCATGAGAATTTGTATGGCCTATGGGATCGAAAACTCGGCGGGGGGCACAAGAAAGAGAACTGGAAAACTGGTCAGTGCGGTGCGATGTAACGAATTTTCATCAGTTCGTGTGTTTTCGTGTTTGTTATACGTATCTGCGCGATCATGGGTACAGCTATAAGCTTTGACGTTGTTTTGTTAATTGAAATGAAGCCTCGTTGACATATGACAACCGGAAAAGTGCCGGACCTGCGATGAAATCTTGTACGAAAACCTCGTGATTTATTCTAACGCGTGCCTGTACACCGACAATAAGAGCTGTGCATATGAAATTGTGTAGATTCAACTCCAGCAGATGCGTATCGAACATCGACACGTACACACCTGCATCGTAGGTGTGTGCGTGTCGATCAAGCGCGTAGTTTTATGTGTGACTGTTCATTTCAATACGGAGACATTATTGTAGTGCATTATGTAATATACCCGACACGCATGCAGACTTATTACAGTGTTAGCAAACCATCGTTTACTACAAGTACAGCTCCTGGAAATCTTTGAGCATCTATTTCATTTAGGAGAACAATTACCAGTTGCTGAAGCTAAAACGCAAATACTTTTACACATTTTTATTTTAGCTCTTCGGTTTTTGATGGCCAGGGCCACTCAAGACAGATTGGTTTATAGTAACTTTGACTTTTTAACTACAATGTTCTTATTTTTTTTTTTTCTATTTGTATCTGAACTCTTAGTTTTTATGTTGCGTTTCACGCAGCCAAGTCGAAGTAAAGGCTTCAGCCGTATACACTGTAGCCAACCACCTTTATTTATTACTAAGTGCATAATATGTAAATCACCATAGGAACGCGTATAGGAGTAGCTTTTAGCGTTGTCGGCCTAAGCAGGAGAGCAAACAATTATTTTTGGGACAACCATAGATTCAGAGTAATCGCTTGGTCGATTATGCAGTTCTTCTAACCCAAGTATGCCTCCTATTTAAATTATGACCGAAAAGGAATCAGTTGAATTGTCAACGATTAATAACCGATGTGACGAATCATCACTTGGGTGCCTTTCTTTTCCGTTACCGGCAGGGTAAACCCCTCATGTGATATAGTTTTTAGCATAGCACTATGCAATCTGGTTCTGTAATTCAGTTCCTTGTAGTAATGCAAGCCAATGCTCGTTCGTATGTATAATCGTATGATCATGTCGCCCGTGTGTCCTTGAATCTTAAGAGTATTAAGCCGCTGAAACTGAGACGCGTGATGTTAAAACAGCTGTGTTCGTATCCACATTGGGTAACGTGCGTCCGTGTTGGCGTTGTTGCTCATTGATATGTGCGTGACGCTTCAATCTATCTTTACGCTCTGTTGAGCCTATTCAACTGCGTAATGATGACGACGACAGTTGAAACAAACGAGCATCTCTTGCATCTACACACATTTACCCGTTTCTACCGTCATATTTCGTCCAATGACATCTAAATATCAACAATATTGTTCTGTACTGGTACTGCCTCAAAATTCGTTAACATGGCCGTCTAGTTCACCTATATAGTTCTGGGGGCATTTGTACACACACGCGCGTTCCTATAACTCTACTTGTTCAACTACATGTAAAGTATAAGACATGGAGTTATAGTGGCAATCGTTCTATTGTAGTTGGCCAGTAACCCTACAAAGACATCGGCTTCGCCAGCGCCGCCTGTCGTTCCCTCGATGGTACATACGATTGTCTATACTATCAACAATCCATGAGTCAACGCGGTGGGAGCCGCTACCGGGCAGGTGCACTGGTAACAACCCATTTTTCCTTAGCGAATGCCTCTAACAGCTTAGCCGTTTGTAAGTGCTTATGCTGTAAGCTCTGCCATTGCCTCTTCTTGCTTGTCTTCACAAACCAAGCATGACGTCATGAAGCACTGATTGCTGACAAACTTGTTATATACCGCAAGAAGTTTACGTCTGTTTCTCTCTCATACAAAGGACGGGTCTTTTCGTTTTGTGCATAAAACGAGATGGGGAAGCCTTTTCCTTCCTCATTACCCCAGGTGTCCCGCTAGGTCCCAAACGCAAAATGGCGTTTTGGGATGCGACGACAGTGTTACGAAAGTGGCCCGTATGACATGCAACCTTCCTGTCCAACCCGAATGCTGCTGCGATGTGTGTGACCTAGTAGTGTATGACCTCTGCGAATGCTCATTGAGTGGCCCGTGTAGACTGCTTTGCATTGGATTATAACGCGTTTACCTCTCTAACAAAACCGACCAAAAAACCCTTAGCTGGCTCAATAACCTATGGGTATTCAATCACATAATGTTGATACGAAAGTGCTAGATGTACCTATTGTAATTAAATGGTCAGATCGTATCGGACGTAAACCTCGAACGAGTAATTTTCTACTGTCATATTTCGTCTAATGACATCTAAATATCAACGATATTGTTCTGTGTTGGTACTGCCTCGAAATTCTTTGAGATGGCCGTCTAGTTTTCCTATATAGTTCTGCTACCGTAAGCACAAATTAGAATAATTTAGGTTAGGTCCTATATATGGTACGTCAGAGAATTGTGTCGATAAGGGTGCAGTACAAAAATGGCGAAGCGGGCTTATAATAGGTAACGATAACCTGGATGCTAATTATTTCTGTGCCGACTGCTTTGATGCAGCATAAGAACTACCTAAGAGTACCAAATGTTAACTTTCAACCGAGTTTGAAGTATTTTTTTATTTTTCGTTAAACAACATGACTGGTAAGTTGAGATAGTGTCCGTTTACCAGAACTTTACGTAACATATTTCTTATATTAGCTCCTCAAAAAGCGGTTTTGAATTGCTCTACGCGTCAGTTGAGGTTTACTGCTGAAGTTATAGAGGAGACAGCACTTGCATCAGCAATAATATTTCTAGGATTATTAATGAAAAAATTGAAAATATTTCCTATCAGTTTCCGATTTTTTCTGTGTTAATATTGCATTTAATTACACGCCAATCACCTCATTGGTTACTGAAATTTTACTCTATAGTTTTCGTTCGCTTCCTCGTTTTTATATATATACATATATATATACATACATATATATATATATATGTATATAGGATTGCAACGCTTACGACAAATGCTGTTATAGCGTTAAATAGTTTACGTCACCTGTTCGTTTTCCTGCTTTTGCTTTTGTTGTAAATTGTTATGTCCGAGATATTGATCAACATGAGATACGGTGGTAACGGGCGATTGTTACCAGCAGAGCACCACCGTAAATTGTCTGTAACTACAACCATTTACATCTGGTTGTTGTTTTTGTTATTATCGGTAATGGTGTTTCTGTTGCTTTGAGGCGCCTTCCATCTTTCTTCTACCCCTTCTATTCATAACGGTGCCTGTACGTGTGCGTGTGGTGCTGATAGCCGCCAATATATATACGGTGTTGCACTTCCCTTTTGGACCGTTATAGCCGTTCTCATTCGGTATCTATCTGTCTCTCTTTGCTAGTATTGTTAGTGCAACAACAGTCACTATTATCATTTCTGCTACCATTGCTATCGCCGTTGTTATAGTCGTTACGTTACTTTGGTACCTAGTTTCATTTGTTCCCTCCTAGCCGGCTCCAGCTGGCGACTCTGTTGCAAAAAAAAAAAAAAAAAAACGTCTAAAATTTAGTTTCATTTTTAGGCACTATAAGATTTTTACCCGCAGATCCTCAGAATTTGCTACGTATTCTCTCTTTTTGTTACGAATATTGGAATTACTACTGTTATTAGCGATTTGTATTGCAAAGTTCGTTTATTTTGCTGATATTCAATGGATATCAATAAAATAGAAGTACTAATTACGAATGAAGGTCAAAGGGGCTGGCGTAAAAAGTGTGCTAATCTTAGATAAGACTGGATAAATTTTTCTTATTATTGTTATTGGTGTGTGCCGACATTATCGGATACGTTCCAGGTTGTGTGCCCAACTACACGAACAATCGGCAGGCGGCAGTTTTCGACGTCCCGATCCGTGGTGACTTCAGATGCGGAGTCGGAAAGATGACCAACAAAATAACTGTAAGTTCACTTTAACTTACTTTCGCAAGCCAATACGTATTGTAAGAGTATGCAAAGCTTCCACTACGGCACAATTGAGCTAAACTAGAGCATAACTATATATTTCACAATGTTCACTACATGATGATGCTTGGCGCCATTGGTTTTACTTATCATTTACGTACACTAGTGTATGTATATAGGGAAACCGACGAGGTGCACTCATTGTCTATATGCCCCACTACCCTGCTTGCCTCTCGCCAATTCAGTATCGGATGTGATTCTATCTCAAGAAACGCGTCGGCAAATAGTCGCTAATTAAATTTTTCTACCTCTAAATTAATGCATTATCTCATTGTGTTTCGACTTCGAGGGGTGTTGTAGTTCCAAACGTGACCTTCCTATTAGCTTCGTTGCTCTATTCGTAAATACCGATTCAGCCATAGAAATTGAGGCTTTATCTAAGTAACGTACCTTTGGTTCTTTTACTTTAAATTACGCATAGAATGTTTTCACAGTTTTGCCACATATCAGATTCCTGTACTTGGTTCAAGGGCTGTTCTTGAGCTTGAAAGTTTCTGGCAGGTGTCACGCTTTCGGAAAACGAAAGACCTAAGTAGATATTAACATAATGTTACGATTATTTCTCTATATTCGGTCTGATTTCAATGAGCTTGTCCTAATATATCCATTTATGAATGGGCTATCATCTGCATGCAAAACTCATTGTGATTATTAGCAGGATACGTTCCCGAAAGCCTCTTGCTTTTTTTCTACAACGTGAAAGCTGGTGGACTAAATGGATATCTCGACAATGTAACCTGTTACATTTCCTAAACTCTGTGTTTATTGTGTAACGTATTCCTATAGGGATCAGTGTTTGTTGACTGATTAATATAGGAAAATCTCATTTCCTCCAGCCTGGCTTTTACAGTTCTAGTTTTGATTAGGATTTTGTATTGTTGAGTAGGGATGTTTATTTCTATTTTGTTGAACAATGACTGGAAAATAAGTATAAGGGAGGAGTTCCGCGCTCCGCTGACCATGAATCCTGCTGGCAGAGACAATGCATAATGCGGATATAAATTGGCTTCTGAAATATGGGTGAAAGACAATCGGGTAAAACATGCTACAAACGCTTTGTAGTTATTTCCTCGCAAGTAATAGGACTGCAGGTCTTGTACAAATGTCCTGCAATTGTTACATCTGAGTCGGGATGATGTGTTGTCTCTACATATGTTTGACCGAACTACACAGCACTGGACCACAACTATGACTATCGGCTGGGGGTCCAGAAAGCACGAAAACGTTTTCTTACTTGCGTTTGTGGGGTCTTCGTTGTGGAAAGGAGATGCACAACTTAGAGGAGAAAATAATGGCGTTGAGCGGAAAGGAGCGAAGCAGACAGGTCACCAGACTTGTATGCACTGCTGATAACCGGTATATATATATATATATTTGGGACCGATTTTGTACACATTTCTTGCTTATTGCTCCTTCAGTGCTCTCTCTTTTTAGAGTTTGACCTCAAACGGCGCATATGTTATAGCAGGAAGGTCATCGAAAGCCGAGATCCTCTATATGAAGCTACCTAAAGCTAGAACAAAAAACTAAGCCTCATTGTATAGTTATGTACAGAATATCCAGATCTTTTATTTGCAGTGTATATATATATATATACATACTGCAAATAAAAGCCGTATATATATATATATATATATATACGCGTCTTTGACATAAGCAAATGGTTGCTTAGATGGGCCAGGAATAACTGCTTTGACATTAACGGAAAGCTAGTCAGTACTCCTATGGCTTTATAAGGTGACAAATATCGAGATTACACCTATGCTTTCCCGCGTTCACGCCTGTTTGGCAGAGCCTTTCATTCTATGTGATGTCTAGTTGCTCTTAGGTGTCTCGAATATCCTGTCAGTCTATTCATTTATGCAGCCTTAGTTACCAATTGTGGCTTCACGCTTTTTACTGGTAAATGGACCAAATTGGCTAAATTTAATTAAGATTATTTATAGCGAGTCGTTGATACAAACTTTTTTTTAATATTTATTGCAGGGCTTAAAGACATACTTTCATCGCATCGTGCTTGAAGAAGAGCAGCATCAGCTAAACAGTAGCGATGAAGATGCCGTAACTGTAGGCAGTAAATCGCGGCAAACTATCTTCTTTAAATGCCAGCTTGCCGACCGGAGGCGGTTATTTCTCAATAGGGCCAAAAGGGCTGCCAGTTCGCAGTTCCCCTTTGAGCTTGTTGAGCCTGAGTAAGTGTTTTCTGCCTATATCTATACTGTTAGATATTTTACATATTAACTATAAGTCTGTTTTACATATTGACTATAAATTATTAAGGGCAAGTTAAAACGAATATGTGAGTGTCTGGTTAAAGAAATTCGAGTAACAGATTTATCAAGAGACGCTTTGCCTGTTAATTTCAACACCTCTTATATCTTAAACTACCTATGACAAACAACCATATATGTTTCACAATGAACATTGTGTAAAGAGTTGTTATATTATGTATTCACTGCCTGATAGATATAGCTTATATCGTGTAAACGATGTAATCTGCTAATCAGTAGCAGTTATATAGCCAGATTTTGCCTGAAATAGTACCAATAGGGCTGTACACCAGTTCTAGTCTAGCATTACGTAAGTGTACTGTTTGTTACGTTTAATAATTCATAAATGGTGGAGCCGAGTACTAGAATAAAATAGGACTGATTCTATATAGTCCTCTACATAAAAAATTATTCCCGATTTCCAGATATGTTTAATATTTTTCGTCGGTCATCGACCTAAGGTTGCACATAAGCTATCCTATTTTTTTCTTGATGTTTATCTGTCAGACAAAATGGAATGGAGTTCTACAGCACTCGTTAGAGAAAGACAAAAAGTGTTATGGTTTAACTGGATCAGGTAGACATAGCCATTGACATCAAATAAAAGAGATTCAGTTAATTCTTTACCTCCGATTGAGAGAATTCTTGCTTAAGCTTTATATCTATTTTCTCTACGGTTTTGGAAGTTTTTGCTTCAAATAGAACGACCTTAACTTTGTTAGGGCCAGGATCTTGAAGTTAGTGGGGGATGTGGGGTCGCGAAGGGGACAGCTTTGATGTGCCCTGCCTGGAGTTGTATCTTCCTCCTTTATCTGAGCAATGAGGATATTAAAATCATGTTAGGTCTTTTCTATCCCCTTCCCTAAACCCTATTCTCTAACTTCCCTTTAGTGGCCGACTTTTTCGACATACGGTGGACGGGCCTTCCCTTTGGTCTAGTCTTTCTTACCCTGCTTAAAATGAAGAGGTCTACTTTGCGAAATTAATCTCGTTGTTCAATGATGACATCGACGTCGAGGTTCAGCTATTTCATTGTTGGATCGGATCTTCTACCGGTAAATCTGTGTCCTTTGTTCAAATCCCCGTTCCTGGAGTCCTTTTGCTTCTTCTATTCTTCCGTCGCGACGGTAGTGTTGGCAGTGAAATTCTCTCGTAGAATAATGCTGGGGTCAGATTTAGGTTGAGTCCGACTTGGTGGAGCTTGTTTAGTTTTATTTGATTCGTAAACTACTTTCTTAATAATTTGGACATTCTAATCACTAATTAAGCTCAGTCAATATATATTTTCATAGTGATTATATTAGATCTATATATATATATATTAAGTCAAGAAATGATTTGGGAAACTTCTAATCCTTGCTATTCGTATATTCCATTTGGTTTGAGATCTGTTGTTCGTTTGTAGCTATTTCCATACGATCAAATCATGTGGCCGAAAAACTCCATAGTCATAATTTCCCCATGGAGAGATACGCAACTGCGACCATTTGGGTTGGCCAAGAAATTGATGACGGATGCGTAGTGTATGACAACATTTGTTAAAGTTGTTGTTGTCAGAACTTCGGAGTTGAAAGCTTCTCTTTTAATCGGCAATAAACTTCGTGGTCTATTGCGTGAAAATTTGGCCCAACCACCTCGAAGGCTTTCTGTACAAATAAAAGTAGGTCGCATCATGATTCGGCAGCATGTATTAGGGACTATATTAAAGAAAATAATGTGGGTCTCATATAAGCTCAATAGAAGTTCTAAGGATTTGACCTTATACGTACTATTGCTCATTGAATAGTAGCAAAAAAGTTATTTCTTCACGAAAACTGTAGTAGGAAGATAAATCGGTTTCTACGATAACCTAGAGCTCTACATAAAGTAATCAAATCTCAAATGAGTCTCAGTGAAGACAAGCGATAACACTGGGTAGGATTTAAAATGGGTTCTTACTCTGTTCTTAGTTTCTGACTTTGAAATTGTAAAATGCTCAGTGCATATTCCGACTTTACGCGGTTAGTCAAACAGTAAATAAACAACCATTCAAAACGTCTAATGTGATCTTAAGCGGTAAAGTATTCAAAATGATCGAACTATCTGGGAGTATTTGCCTTCATGGAACTGTGGCAATGCAGGCAAGTTTGGCACATCTGGGATCAAAATTCTTTTATGCAAGCCCAGATCGTGCTCTTTGAAAACTACAGGTTTTCAAACTTATACAGTTAACCTTGGAAAGTAAGCGATTCAAAACCAGAGACAGAACTTTGAAAACGGGTCTATTAATAGATGGCCTTCGTGTACGTTCCCTACATCAGCCGAGGAATTTGTGTGTTACCCGAGCGGTCAAAAAAGCTATAAACTATTTTATTGAAAGTTAGTTTTTTAGCAGTTTAAGTGGGCTGGAGAACGGAATCACGTTCTGACCGACTTATTATATGTACATATAAGTTCCTCATTAACTTTTCCGTTCCTCTTCAATTCCGGACGTTCTCAGTAGTCGATATTTGGAACGCATCCAGCGTTGTTGAGAAGGCAGCAAGTCAAAGACCCAAAAGGCCACAAAAAAGCGCCTCTGCGCTCGAAGAGCGCCATTATACCATTTGGTTACTTTGACGCCTATGTCCGGATATTAGCAGTGCAGTACCGTACGACGGCTAAGGCTATAACGGACAAGTTAGAGGCACAGGGGGAAATATACGAAAAAGGGGTAGAAGCCCTGTGTAGTATAAGATGGTGGACTGCGGCTGCACCGGCAGCCTATATTCTATCCGACCGGCGATCGACAAGAGAACAGTGTATTCGCTGTTGGGCTGACTGGGCGTTAGTTGGTTGGCTTGGTTGGATGACACGGCTTCGGCAGTTGATCTCGTTGAATATGGCGACGAGCAGAGCGACGTCAATGGAATGTCGTGCTCGTTGCAGCTGTAGTCTGGTTAGTTGACCCTCTTCCCCATTCGATAGCAAATCACGTCGTTCGCCCCGTCACGAGCATCCGGTAAAATAGTGAGTGAAACAACTTTCTCGAGGGCAATACGGAGTTGGTTCGTTCGAATGAATAGCTCGTCTCACAACAGAGAGAGTTTGAGGTGCCCCCGTAGGGCAATCGGCAGCTGCCATCTATTGGTCCGTCGAAGCAGAATCACGCAGCACTCGTTATTCATCGCGTGCTTAGCTTTATCCGCTTATTCCCACAACAACCAGCATAGTTTCTAAACGGACTAAATTTGCAATTTTTCGCCGTCATTGTCGTCAGTCACAATCAGCACCGTCGCCATTGTCATTTCTACATTTCAGCTAACGACGTTATTGGCCAAACCACTGAACGTCATTAAGCGCGAGGCCTATGACGTGGAGCCGTGTGTAACAAAGTGACGTCCAGTTGAAAGTTGTAAGGAGCAGAGCATCGTCAGTGGCCCAACAAACCCACACACTGACAGTACAGTCGTATAACAGTTGGAAAAGCCGCACATCGAAGCTAGCCAGGCAAGTCGTAGTGGTCATCAGCGCTGATTTGCACTCTGTCCACCAGGCAGCAAAACTTTTCGCCCACTTCTCCGCTAAGTCCCTGTTTTCTCCCATTGGCTCGGTTGGATATGAGAAAGACGTTGTTCTACGGCGAATGGGAAAAAGCGCTTTCTTCCGCTGCTTGAAGCGCGGCAAGCAAAAACGAAATCGTTCTCTCTCTTGCAGATCCTGACATGGCCCGAGAAAAGCCGTAGTACTTTCGTCTCTCCAAGCCGCTTCTCCCCAATTCCGTTCGCTATACGCGTGCCCTGTTTTCGTCCCCGAGGGAGGCAACTGTGTGTGCGCCTCTCTCTGGGACAACAACCGTTGGAACTCCTTGGGTCGTTCGTATTTGATTCTGCGTTCGTGTCCGCACTTAGGCGCTCCTTGACAAAGTACATCATGTATCAAACTGTAGCGGGTGGGAGCAGAATGATGCAGCGAAAGTAACCAGAAACAAGCAGGTGGATACTGCAAGAGACAACGACGTGCCGTGTGTCGCCATAGGAAATGTGGCAACGACTGGGCGAAAGAACGAGCAAACGAAAGAGGCACCGCGTAACGAACAAATGAGGCCAAAGTACAGATTCGCATCCGGTATTTCGTCATGTTCGGTATTCGCAGAGAAGAGAAACTAGTTTGTAGATGCCTACCTGAGCCAACCGAGTTCAGACCAAAAAAGGGCAGGCCGAAAAAAAGAGGCTGCATTGGCTTTGACTGGTATGAGAGGGCGGTAAAAACGAGGCCGGGGACAGTGGTCACGGAAGAGAGACAATCAGAGAGGGAATATAAGGATGGTGCTGGAGGAAAATACCAACGCCATGGGGCGAACACAGTAGAACGTAGTATCTTCTGCAGGTTGAGATGCGTCACGAGAACAGCCAGCCTAGTCCTAGCCGACACGTTAAACAAGCCAAGTTCCTTACACGGGCTCAGTGCCGGTTTTTCAGCCTTCCAGTTCCCGGCCTAACCACTTCGTTGTTTGCCACTCCGTTGCCTACTAGGTTTCTTACATTGCGTACCCAGGCTTAGTAAACAAAGGCGCGGAAAGAGGCACACAAAATACCGTTTGCTGACAGACACACGATACAGATTTCGGGAAAGAAAGTAAGCCTACGGAAATAGCGAAGGCAAGCGGCGGCGAGCGAATAACTGAAGAAGAACAGAAGAGAACTTCGTCGACTGGACGATTGTTAGTCGTTATCCAAGGTTGGGTGAGTCTGCTTTGCCGTACATCCTGGTGCGCTTTGGTCCGGCCACGTCGTCCTTGTTATGGGTCTTTTTGTGGTGGTGATCGATGCTAGTCTGAAACGAGCAGCAGGCGAAGCAGGATGCGCGACTTCTTGGCCTGGTGTCAGGAGCCTTCTCCTTTTGCTTTGTGTTTTGGACAGAAGCGACTGACGGCGCTCAGTGACGTCACCCGGCTGTTCTCGCCACCGTCTTCTATTTGGTGTCGACGGAGGCTTACCTCACTGGTCTGTGCCATTGCTGCAATCGCCGTCAAAGCTAATGAGCTGTGTGTAACAACAAAGACATTCTTCCTAGCTGCCAACAGTAAATGCAAACCGTTTGCTGGTCCTCTGTTTCAACGAACGGTGAACGGAGAGGTTTCCTGTTTCCTGGTCAGCGTCGTCTGCGCTTGTTTTTTCTTCATACGGCAAACGAGCAGCAATACTAGCAGTCTTTCGCTGGCATCATTTATTAACTTTTAATATCAAAGCTAGATAAAGTGAAGTAAAGTAGAAAATATTAAGGGCTTCCAATGGAAAACGAATGGTTCACTCTATGGCAAGGCTCGCACGGCAGCATCCCATAACAACATCAGGTCTGCATAGCAGATTCTAAGTATAACGAAAATAAAAATGAACACTTACAATCGAGGCTTATTAAAAGCGCATATAAGATCGGAATTATGAAGCTGAATAATTTCGGTCGTCTCATTATGTTGTTTTGTGCTTTTTTTTTTATTTTGTTTCGGTCCATTCTGGCTTGCTATCGTTACTTCACGGCGACTTCACTTCGACTTCTAACAGTCATCTGAACATCACAGAGTACATCGAAGCCCATGCGCCTGTACCTTACCTCGAGATAGGTATCCGCCAGAATGGCCGGTTGCTAGACACAACGTTCAACGTGCAACCAGGCACGCCACTAGAAATGGTTATCTATCTTGATCAGAAAAGCAAATGTGAGTATAGACTATATACATTTTTGAATAGAACACTAATCTTGTAGTTCTCTATTAGAGAGCAGCATATATATGTACATATGTTTATACATATATCGCACCTACTATTATATATACGATACAACAACGTTACCCAGTTATGCAAATATAATAATCCTTATCACTTAGCAAGAATATGTCGCTTTCTAGCCATTATCTTCTTTCTTTTTTTTGGGAAAAGGGGATGAGAGGCTAATGTGTGGGTTAACTTAAGTAGACAGGAGCAGCAAACAGGTGCTGGTTTAGGTACAAATCACCAGGGGAACAATAACGCCGAAAGTAATGCCAGCTGTTAGCTGATTTCGGTTCTGGGAGTAAACGTAGGAGAAGATCAAGGTACGGGAGTGAGAGGGAAAGGACAGTGGCCGGTGGGTGGATTGTGATTGCTTGGCAAGTCTACACGGGAACAAAGGCTACCGATAGTCGGTATCGGGTCAAACAATCTATTAGCCATTGCTCCCACCACAACTACTATCATTTCAAGGGATGGAGGAGGACAAGGCGATGGCGACGACAACGACCAATGGCACCCACCGAATGAACGATTCGAAGAATCACAGTTGACCCTATCGTCGGCTTGAAGTGGAGCGAAAGTGTGGTTGTGTTCTGTGGGTCTGCTACCTCGTGGCTTCTAGCTTTCAATTTTAGTAATATCGTCTGCTGGTCGCCAATGGCCTCAACCGACACGGAAACCCACATTATCTGATCAATGTGTGAATTGCTTCCCAAGAGAAAATGAGGGATATAAAAATATGTCATCTGGCTACTGAACTCCAATTGACTAATGGGCTGAATGGGTCTTCCCGACTACCAGCCGCACTGTCATTTAACTTTTATCTATGTATCATTATTTAATTAAAAGTTAGCAATGGGCCAAATACAGGTTGCCATGCGTGTGTACTACGCACTTAATCTTCTTGAGGTCATTGGTATTGATAACAAATTGCACGATTTTGAAAAGTGTTCGTATGCATTTGCGTAGTTTAACCGAGTAGTTCCTCATTGGCAAAAACTAAGACACACAATTCTGTGAAGATAACTATATCTAACTTCAGGACATTTAAAATTTCCAGCAACTTACGGGATTTTGAGCACTTTCCTGAAGGTGTCCGACAGTGCAGGAAAACAAGAAGAAGTAATCATTATGAATGGGTAAGACACTATGACGTAATTTTTTTTGCTAACTAAATTCATGCACATTTCTAGATGAGTCGTTAGAGTTGTGTTTATTTTTCATTGACTGGATAGCAGAGTGAAATTTTTTCATCACCAACAACTTGTTATACACGATATACTGTAAAGTAACTTCTCTGCAATTTTGCTTTCAGTTTATTACGTCATATTAAACGTTTTGTCTTTGTAGATATTTTTACATATTTGCAGGAGACTATTTGTTCTCGTAAAGTATTAGTGTAGCACATATTTTGTAGCTAGGATAATGCATTTATCTTTTTTTTTCAACTTTTTATTACAGATGTTCGATTGATCCATACATCTTTTCGAATTTCGAAACGCCTGACGGGGGAGATACACTTAGCGCATCTTTTAAAGCATTTAAATTCCCCGAGTCGAATTACGTGATGTTCTCCGGGACGGTGTCCATATGTATAAATAGATGTAAAGGGGTAAGTTATTACGGCACGGCGTGAATTCTATGAAATATTTCCGTTTTCGAATCGACGACCCCGTTCGTTTGAGATGGCAGTTTTGGGTATCAATTTGAGGCGGCTTGGGTGAGCGAAAGTACCTACCACTTTGAAAAATGAACACGCTCGTTGGACAACCCATGAAGAACGTTACCCAAAGTAACTCGAACAACTATTGTAATCTATGCTGTAGACATTTATGATCAAGTCTAGAACGAATACTTTTATTGTATTTTACTGCAAGATAAAGCGCCAATCATTCCTCTTAGTAGGTGGTTGAAAACACCCTGTTTCTGTTTCAGTGTTTATTGGCGAACAAAGTATCTATTTCTCCAAAAAGGGTGTATCGCGTCAAAGGGCTTGTCACAAATTTGCGTCGCTAGCCATGTCTAATCTTCTACAGATCAAGATCTAGTCTCGCGACCATCCATCCATACAGCCTTTCTCTCAGTTTACGTTTTTTTGTGCATAAAAATTATACTGTCATCCAGCGTAAGTGAAACATAGGACAGCGACGTCGTGAAACGTCGTAACAAAATAATTCGCTAGTTTGAAGTGTCGACTTACCCCAGAATGGCTCTTCTATAAAATAGCACTTTTTCCTTACCTCTCTTTCCTAGACCTAGTACTAGCGAGAAGTAGCTTTTCAACAAGCTTTTCAAGCAGCTTTTAAAACAACAAATGTCGCAATAAGATAATAGAAATAATTCTGGCAGGGACCATTTAGCCTGTTGGCACGGGGTAAACAATAAGGCGTTATCGTTGCCGGAACGTTTTTACTCGCAAATAACGCACAAGAAGCCTGATTTTCTAAATAAAAACAAGCCATATTGCTTGACTAAGGGGCATGCGAAAATTTAGAAATAAGCTAAACATACATGTACGAATGTCGTATCACATACGCCTATTTGTATCTTTAAAGTTGACAACGGGTTAGTGTCATTTGGTGTTCTTACGGGTAGTTATGATGTTAACCTGTGAAGTTCTACAGTGGTGCATACATCTTTTAGTGAATACTGCATTCCCACATTCTCATGCCTGCCTATGCATGCGTCTTCAGGTATAACAGTGTAATCGTGAAATTATATAAGCTACTGTGGATACAAGCTGTGCTTGATAAAAAATGATACGAATTTTGCTAAGACGGTTGCAGAATAACTCTAAACAATGGAAAACAGCTTGACGATAACTTGCCTTCCGTGTGGGTGTGTATGCGTCCACATTTATTTTTCATACCTAAACGAACCGAGAATATTCATTGGAAGGTATTGGGCAAAAATAAGGGCTTCTTATAGTGCACTCTAATAGGCTAGTAATCCTAACGATCATCGAATATATGTTTTCGTCTTGTCTACGTGTAAACGTATTTCTACTGCGCAGTCATGGTCTTGCCTAGCTGACTGGGCGCACGCTTACGCTAGTGCCGATGGCAGAAAGCAACGTGTTATTATTACTATTGGTGTTGTGCTTTTTACTACGCTCGTTTGAAAATGGACAGAAGAAGAAAGATCCGTAATGCTAAGAGGGCCGGCAGTTCGGTCAAATGCAGCAATAGAAAACCTACCTCTGTGCACATAAAACATCTCATTTCATAGATATCTATGTATGTAAGATTTTTTTAACGTATTTTAAGCGTACATATGTCTGCTACATATGCGCTTATGTTACTGCTGCTGCCTCTATACTTTTTCCATATTCGTAGTCTTCCGCCATATCTTATACACTGATGCCCGGTCAGAGTCATTGTCAGTCTACGAGTATGGACATCGCGCACGAACTCAGCTATGCTGCGGCATTCAGGGTAAACACACATTCTGTAAAGTAGTCGGATCACGGCTGCATATACAGGTCGACGTAGATAGAGCAGCAGTATAGCCTCGATATAGCCGGATCCCGTAAAATCCCCTGCGATCTGTGGCAGCATTACGGTTAGCTTTAGTGATGGCGCAAAGAGCCTCATTGACTTCGTCTTTAGAACGCGGTAGGCGGTTGGTTGAGTTTTCCCATAGAGGCTGGTCGTTTATGCATGAGAACAACGATGAAAGAGGGAATGACGCATGGCATTGCACATGCGATGCGTTCTGCATAAAGTAGGCATACTCTACTACCTCCAGCCGCCGAGAATACACTGATGGGCTATCTATTCTAGCTCGTCGTAGGTTAATGCATCGGGGGTGCACTTTCTGGCTGTTTTGATACAGCTAAAGGGGTTTGTCTAGCCTGTCCTCGGCAACTGCGTTTGGATTTGACATATCGGTCAGTCCTCCTTCCCATTGTACGCCGGAATCCGCTCTAGGTTCAGAGGTTTGTTCTAGTGTGTGTAGGAACAGATAACGACAGATTTCTGATAATAGGCTAAGCAAATGAGTAGAGCAAGCTGACTGGGAACCGTTTAAGTTACACTCAACAAAAAGCTAGCACCACAATTAAGACAAATAGAAATAGTAACTAGTGCCCCGCAAGATCTTATTATTAACTATTAAACATTATAAATTGCCTAAGTAAGTTCTGTAAAGAATATATAGAATGCTGCAAACGCCAGTTATCAAAATCGATCTTTCGCCTGGCGAGCAGTGAGACGCTAACGCCATCCTGAAAAATCGAAGAATAAATGTATGACACTCTTACGTTTTGAAGGATAAAAACTTGGCATAATTTGTGGCACGGTTAGCAAATCAAACGTTTTAACTGTGAAAACAAAAATCATTCATCAATTAATACTCGTTATTCACAGATTCCATGTGGCAATGGTCAGTTGGGTTATGGGCGGCGCAAACGCGAAATCCCCGCGACGCTGCCCAAGGACCCAAATGCCCTTTACAGTGTAGAACTGTCAACGATGCTCAAGGTACGCTTCGATGACGATTTCTTCAAACTAAACAAAGGTAGGTCTTCATTGATACTTCAATTTTTGTTACGTTAGGTGTAACTGTCCAGTTGACATATTATATACGAGGCAAATCTATCTATTTAGGTTTTTGTTATTTTCAATAATTTCGCCAATAACTTTCGAAATACCGTGTCTATATATATATATATAGTTTTTTTACAAATGGATCGATTCGCAGTCCTTCGCTGTCTACACAATCTTGTCGTTGGAAGAGGGTGGTGTTATCTTATACGTACAGACGTATTGGAAAGTTGCTCGCCCTTATTCGATTCGATATCGTTCTGCCCTGGAATATTTTCTTTCCGGACAAGGAGAGTATATCGCTCTACGTAACGCCGATATCGTAGGCGGCAGTGATATCAAATAATTTACAGAAAATGCTAAAGTAACGCATCTTCATTAAGGCAGACTTTGTGACCCAATAAACTTTCATTTCAGCGTAAAGCTAGATTTATGAAAATTTCTAAAAAAAAAAAAAAAAACCGTACTGCTCAACTGATGCAGTCTTTCCGCAACTCTTCTGTGGAGATAACAGGGTCAGAAAAAAACGAGGCTTCGGGTCGCAAGCCTGAGTTGAATAACGGGCTGACAAAAACAATATGGCCGCTATTGTAGCACAACACTGGACGATAACACCAGAGAGTGATGCGCGTATCAAGGCGAAAAAGTGGGTCCCTCCATGGTTTGTTCTGTGTTTCATTCTAGACCCCTTGTCCCATTATCTGCCGTTTCGTGCCAGCGGCGATCTCGACAACGTGTCTTCCTTCTACAGGGAATGGTTCTGAAAGCGTTGAGTGGATCAAGAGTGTTACCGTCGAGAAGAGACAGACAGAAGCAAAAAACGAGCAGTATATCTACTCTATCGTGCTTTACCGTTGGAGCCTGCTCGTAGACAAGATAGGCCATATGGAAAGGGGTTATGCTTCACGCTGCACCGCAGTCTTTTCTCTCTTCCAACTCACTTACCAACGGTGGCAGCAGCAGCAGCAGCAGCAACAGCAGCTATAGCAAACATCGTAGATTTTTTTCGCCAAGAAGCTTTTTAGGGCTTGATTTCTCCATTGTGCTGGGCTGGAGAATTCGGCTGAGGCCCAACAATCTAACGGACGTTTACCAGGCGTTCGTAGCAGGGTTATGAGAATTTGCGTTTTCTCCATGCAATTTCTTTTTAGTATTTCTCCTCATTCTTATTTTCTGTGGCTATAGTTGTTCTCGACTCTGCCATTTTCTCTCTCCGACGGGTGCTTTCTTGACATACGCTGCTTGTCTCAAAAGCGAGATGCACAGTGCCGTACTGAGCTAAATAAATTTGACAGCAAGCAAGCCACATACGTATATACAAATATGAAGACTTACATCTGCACTAGAGCAAACTGGATGCCGAAGCCCGAGTGATACAGCAAATGTCTTCTACGCTCTAGAATTTGCAAATTGCCTCCATTGGTTCCAAATGCGTTTCTTCTAGTTTCTGTTTCTACTCAAACCTCAAATGCACCTCTTCCACTCAAATCAGCGGTAAAAAATAATCGGTAATGGCTACGCACACCGTTGTTGTGGGTACTATCTTTCGCAGATGATAATTTAATATAGGACACTCACATAGGAAATATACCCGAAACTTGTTGGAAATGTCAATACACCCATATATATATATATATATATATTATCATTTGTTTTCTAGATTATTCTGAGCATGTATCGTGCTTGTGTATGTTGAGGCGGCGTAGAAGTAAATTCGAACACAGATGTGAAATTCATACAAACGCTAATTAGATTGTCTACTACACTTTCTTCTGTTTCAGCCTCATTATCAAGCGAATTTAACAAAGGTGCTGCACCGGTCTCGTCCCGTTTCATTGAGGCCAAAACGCAAGAGGTATTCGAACAACGAATATTCGCCTCAGATGCTTCGACCAGCCATTTGCGATTAGCGGCTGGACCTACAACGTTGCTACTGTATGTGATTGTCGTGACTAGCGTCACCCTCGCTTTCTAGACGCAACATCACAGCGTGCCATAGGCTGTCAGTAAGCGATACACATCTCTCGGACCTGGTCTGGGTAAATAGCGACAGTGGTGCGAGAGAGCAGAGATGCGAAAAGTGTTGACTCGGTACGAGCAGCTTGTTCTTTCCGCTGTTCTTAGACACTTTGACATCCGTGACGCGTGATTTCGATAGTTCCCACGCTACAGGTACGGCACACGCCACTGTATTATACCCAAAGAAAACCTCATGCACAAAAATACGTTTACGAAGTGCTAATCAGTAAAGGTACGAAATGTACCGTTTAGTGTAATCAGAGTTTGGATTCGGGAAGAGAAAAAAAAGCGTAGATTAGAAAGAAAGGATCTAAAAGAATTGATATATATATATATATATATATATATATATATATATATATATATATATATAATGCCCAAATGTACAGGCACACTCAACTTGCAACATACAATACAGGACACATAAACATACTTACATTATAGAAGTATTTGATGACGAGCTTCAATGGCTGTATGTAGATTCGCCAATGCGTGATAATACTGCCAAGATAGGAAGTGCTATGGATGGTGTATGTGATCAGGCGTAATAGCCAGAGCTCCGTTATGAATGAAAACACGAGCACACGCCATGTGTACCTAGGCTTATGCAAAACTTGTTTCCAAAGCTTTATTCTGAACCTCTATAATTTCATAGTCTTCATACGAAATGATGGAAATTCCTGGGCTTTGACTAACCCACCCATTAAAGTTTCACGAGCACTGCCCGCATGAATAACTTCGTTGTACACACTCACTTAGATGTACCCATAGGGCATGAGTAACCACGAAAGGAGTATAACCCAGAACAACGGCAAGCGTAAGGCATGCGCTAGTCGAATGAAAAGCAGAAAACCGACGCGCATGCCAACGTTTTCTGCTTAGTAGACTTTACCTCTCGCTATTCCGCCATCCGATGCAGCAATACTGTTCCTGTTTGTCCGTCCCCATTTCTACGGCCAGTAGCATTATGACCCCAGTGCCGAATTCTTATCTCTATTTTTTCTATTTTTATATATATATATCTATATCTATCGTTCTAAAACTATCCAAGTCCACTTTACTTTCCATTCTGTGCCAAACAACAGATCCCATCGGCGAAACAAGAACACAGTAGAATACACTTACATCCAATCCAATATACACTCATACGATTATACAGTGATACTAAGAATAGACTATAGACGGAGAGCAACGAGCATATGTATTACTAATAAAGGCATCAAACACAGACACGCTCACTCACCATGCACTCATATACAAACATGACAACAAAGTGGCGTCTGGGCAAATTCGCTTTTATACACTATTGAAAATTGGAAACAAGCAAAGGACGGCTAGAAAACAAGTGAACTAAGTTCAAACGCAAGTAGGCCCGAAGGAGTCCAATCGGACAAAGGCGAGAGGCACAGCCTAGAGCGGAAAATGAGCGTACTCGAGCGAGAATAGGATCGATGGTAACTTTCTTGTTAACCTTGGAGGAAGCAATTATTGAGATCCACGTGTGGACCATGGTGCGCATGCAGGAAGTGAACATTGGACCGACACCGAGTAGTTAGCTAAGTAAAGTAAATTAAGCTACTGCCCTATAGTCGACGTGAGTACGTTGCTTCGCAGTAGCGCTAGTTGAAGCGCCCAAAAGACCGAAAAAAAAGACTTAGCCAATGCTAGTTCTTCGGCATGTCAACACATCGTGCGACAGGACAAACACGCGGACTAAGTACGGTTCAAACAAAGTGTTGATATTTTCGATCGACGTGAGAAATAACAGCCAGTGACGATGTACAGGAAAAGAAAGACATTTTTCAAAAGAAAGAGTAGCGTATTGTGTAGTTAGATATACTTAGCCAGCTCCCATTTTAATGATATGGCAAAGATCTAGGCAAAGTGGGGTTAAAGTAATTATAGTCGAATATTTGCCTGATGACTAGCAGAGGGATGAAACAATGAGTTAGGAAGTTATGGCACAACAGTTTGCCGAAGGTGACACACTCAGTGTGTTCTGGAGACAAGCAGACATCTTTATAAGTGTACGTATATCTATCTCTCATGCAGATTAAAGGCATGGCGCACATTGAGACAGATAAGGCGAACGAACTAGCCAGAGGATTAGCACTCATGCCAGAAGGGAATGATTGCCAGCAAAAGTAACTCCAACTAGAATAGAAAAAACAAACTACAAAGGCCGTCGAGTATCGGGATAGAATAAATGGGTGAACGCCGGAAGGAAGGGTGGTGGTAAGGGATGGGGAGGCTAACCTTGTAAGTACACGGTGTAATAGCCAGATGTAGCATAAAGTTAAAATGTGAAAAATAAAGTATACTATTATTTAAGATTGAATCGGTTCTATGTGTGTTTCTTTTACCCGTTACGACGCTTTCATGTCAATATACGATTGCATGTTCTCTAAAAAGTATGTAACAACGCTCAAAACTGTTCGGAGGAGCAAAAGCCAGTCGGTGTCATCCTTATCACTGTTAACGTGTTCCGCTTACACACGTCACTTCACGTACGTGTGCATAATCGCGATATGCGCGTGAAGCGTATGGACCGGTAACAGTCAAGAGAAACCGGTGAGCTTAAAGAATCGGTGTGCTAAAAACGTTAGCAAGATCGTAAGAAGCTTGTATCTTCTTTTCCGCATAAAGAAGAAACTTCGCAACGTCAGAACTTCATTACTACTGTTATTGTTATTCTTCTATAGTTGCGGTAGATAGAAGATGACTGCCGCCGATTCGACCGTACAAGCCTCGCTTCTCACTCCCAGAACGAGGCAAACAGCAGCTACAATTCCATGAAAAGATAAAACGAGCATAAAAGTGGCAAATTTTATACCGGGTAAAAGAATGTAGAAGTGCAGAGATGACGGTTAGTTTAAGAGACTGTATGTGTACAGTACGAGGCTATTTCTTACGTTCACGTTTTTTGTCTTCCTCGAAGGGCTTATATCTATTTTTCTCATTCAGTATTACGTGGACTTTTTCTCTCTTTTTTCGGCTGTTTTTCGTACTGTTCATACGCTGTCGAAATGGAGGGGCTGGGTTGCCACTAGACTAGGGAAGCAGGTATAGCTTGCTTGTGAAGTTACGTCTGTGTTTTATAGTTGTCGATAAAACAACGAACGTGCTGACCTACGAAGACCTTTAAAGAAGAAATCCCAGTTCGTAAAAAGGAGGCAAAACGAGCTGCTCAACATTTGTTGTTCGTTCCCGCATACGATCGTGCGTTACACGAGCTGCAGAAAAATCGATTTAGTAGTACTTGTACCAGCATAGCAAGAATACATCGTCTCATCTCTATGTGCCCTCTAGCGTTTTCGTCTTTCCGGCACTTTTTTCGGGAATTATATATCTCAACAAAGTCTATTTGATCCGACATCGTTAATTAATTAAGATATAAACTTCGGTTCGACGATAATAAAAAGCAACTGTACATCACAAATAATCTGTATGTACGCGGGAAATGTCAAAACAAGCAGCTGGTACCCTCGAGTCCCCCATTTTTCGGGAGGTCTCAATTGGAACGCCGGCCGGCATGTAGTATAAAATCTTTTTCTAAATGATTGATTTTGTCTTTGATTGCATAAAGAATAACCATGGCACTTGTTCTCGTAATTAAAGAAGTCAATTAGTTGTGCTATGAAGGGTCTACTTTTAGAAATGTTTGGCTACCTATCGTACGAAGTAGTCCCTAATGACCTAACTACCATACCTAAAACATGCCAAAAATCTACCCGCCAGCTTATTCGATTCGAGCCGCAGGACTAGCAGCGAATGACGTCAAACTTTGAGGATATTAGATATTTCTTTCGAGAGTTTCCTGCGGGACAATAAGGGTGAATACTATGTTAAAATGCTAAGAAGACGCTGGTTCGTTTTAACCGTTCTTAACGTCAGGCCATGATTCAAGCTATTGTCGCTATGAGAAGAACAGTAGACCTTATTTCTAAAATGTGTGGGCGTCAACGATTTTCTACTGAATTTGTCTATACGCAGTCTTCATGTCAATGGCTACTGCGTTCGATTCCGATGTGTTCCAAACGAAATCTACTCGAAGAATTAGACTGTTTATATTTCAGCATTTTCATGATGTGTTTTTGGATACTTCTAGGACGTAAATCAAGTGCTACCTCCAAAGTGGTTGGAATAAAGGTGAACGCCGATGAAGCACAAGACTCCACGGAGCATTTGTACAAATAGACGCTAAGGTTAAGCGTCATCCGACTGATCGCAAACAGCCTAACGCTCCTACATGACAACGTGATACTGCAAGCTCACATAGCTTTTTTTCGAATATTCTCCGTGCAGATTTTGTACGATGCTTAAGGAGAAGGTAGCTGAGCTGCATGGCTTCCAGTAACCTTGCGGCCTTGCCAATGATTGTGTGCTGATATAAATGTAGTTTAATTTAGTTTTAGGTAAAAGTGGGCAGCTTTGAAGCTAGTGAACATGTTAAAGAAAAGATAGTAATATTTTGAAGCCATGGCATCGGCAATTTTAGCTAGGAAACGAATACTCGTTATATAAAATTTAAGATTTTCATTTTATAAACATTTCTATGGCTGGATTACTATAGTAGTGAGATCAGGTAGATGCCGGTATGTTTTGCTGTTGATAATATCTTAAAATTTGTAGAAAAAAGAGAAAAGTAATACTTAGTTAGCACAACTTCTCGCTTTATTGGTCTGACATACATTTTCGCAGTATCCAAACTTCCTCTTGGTCAGGCCTACGTTGCAGCAGCCCATACTGCCGTTACAAAGGCTTAGTAAGCACCGTGTCTAAAGCAATAGCATTCTCCTGTTTGAAGCGTAGCCGTCGTATCAACGTCTGTCGTGGTAAGATCGGATGTGGGCGCATTTGCGTCTTTGTGTGTACGCTCCCATTACAAAACAGTCCACGTATCAGTCATCGTACGATCGCTACCTTTCACTTTTTCACACGCAATCGGCTCAACTCGGTAAAGGGGAGCACCGAAGTCACTTGAAGAGGTCATAACAGAAAATGTGTGAAGAAATACAGAATGACGAAGGGCATAAAACGCAAGGTACTGAAAAAAAGAGGTTGGTGCGTTCATTCCTTCAGCGTAGATTAATTGGTAGCCCCTGACAGCTATATAGCACTCGATTTAGCAACGTCTCATAGGAAATGGTGACGCGACAACGGCTCGCGTGGCGTCCTTTGTTGATCCTGCTGCCTGCCTGCCTGCCTGCCTGTTTCCCTTCCCTTCAAACCCTAATGAGCCTTCAATAGCTCGTAGAGTATACCGTCGATTAACAGTCAAAAGGATGCGAGGATCATATTGGGTATCAGATCGAGATAGAGACGAAAAAAGGAGCCAGTGTAACACCACAGGAGTCTGGTAAATTTCTAGAAGCTGTTCCCTTTTTAAAAGCACTAGTGAATTAGACAATGTACCACTTAGAACGAGTTTGCGCCGGACAAGTGAAGGGTTAAAAGGGATGTCACTAGGATGTTTAGTTGTTCCAAGGGCTTTGTTTTTATGTTGAAGCTTTCGATCGGTACAGAATCGCGTTGCACATTGGCTTACCTTTAGCTGCTATAAACACTTTATCTTAAGATAAACCAGACTAAATTTTAAAATTTCGTAGGCCACCTGAGAAATCGAGCAAACACCTGAAAGCATCCACAAGTTTATGAGTTCTCGACCTTTCGGCATAAACCAGGCAAAAAAACCCCATCAATATCCTATGGCAAAAATGAACAAACATTTCCCGTGGTTTAATTTTATTCCTGTTGTGCAGAACTCAGAAAGGTAGAGAAACCCCTACACCGGTATTATTGCAAATTCTCAATCCGAATTTCTCTCGCAATGATCGCCTAAAGCTGTCCTTATTACTCCAGATACCTTAATTTCCAGAGAATTTTCCTTAATTGTTTTGGAGTATAAAACTCATGTTCGGCACAATGGTTTCTAGTCAAGTCGAAGCTATATACAAATTATTATAAAAATAGTTAAAGCAATTATCTTTTATATATATTACAAACGATAAGATGGGATACAATTCATTTAAGACAAACGGTAAAATATCTATTTCACATAGTATCGTATGAATCTTGCAAAATTTTCTTTACTGGCGCAATAATTTTCGGTGTCCTGAATTGCTTTGACAATACCCTGATAAGCCGAAAAATCACTCTAAATGGGTTTTCGACTGCGCTATATAGCGTACACTGGGTTTCAGGCTAATTTTACAACAGAAATAAGCAGCAATGTTTCAGGTAAGAAGTTTCTTTGATTTTTCTACATGTATCTTTAAATCTAATATTACTTTTATATAGGCTGTATCATAACATATTAATCTGCATGACTCAGCTCTTAGTGAATTAAAAACAGAATGTGAACAAGATAATTTTGTCAATAGTTATCGTTTGGTAGAAAGTTTATGCGAGGTTGCATGGCTTACGTAGCCATTTGTCGACCTCTCTATTCAGCGAGAACATACGCGAACTTATACCGACTATCGATATACGAAACACCGTCAAAACGCTTACACTATGCATAGGCTGGGTTTAAAAATACACGCTAAGATGCATTGATTGCCTACCAATAACAACGCATTTCCTTGACACAGCAGTATTTTTACTGCTAATACTATTTCCACAACTAGTACGGTTACATCAGGTGGAGTAGGAACTCCTCCTACATACCGCTGTATATCTACCATATGCGCAGACCGAATGATGGGTATTGTCAGATCCATTTCCAGTGCCTGTCACTCTTTTCCGTTGTTCGGAGCTAGCTCTCGTTCCCCGGACCGGGCCAGCGACCGACATCGCTGACAAAAATTTGCGAGATAGCCAACGAGTCGAGGCTCCAACAAACGTGTCCTTGTAGGCGAGCGGCGTTGTGTGCCCCGTCAAGACCTTATAAGCACCATCATGACGGCGATAGCTGTAGCAGTGGAGAGGATAGTCGCGCCGTAAGCATACTGCTGCAATTGTATATAAATATATTCGTCTTTTGTTATTGACCGGCCTTTAACGTCCTGTCCCACATCAGTGAGCACGATCGCGGCAAGCCGATAACTCCGCTGAGCGAAGCAAAAGCACTGTAAAGATTATGCTAGCGTGTCGTTAATGATCGCACCCCACCGATTACTCTACACACTCGTCGAATATGAAAGAAAAACGAAAAGAAACGTCCTTAGCCGCGTCCTTTCTCGCTGCGTCATCTGGTCTCTGTTGGATAGATGTGTATTATACGTATGGATATATACGTTTATCTGGTTTCCTTCCAGATTCTTCATCTATCTTTACTTAGCTACAAATACTCGCTTGCCTTCCCTAAACCATATAAGCTCCTTC